TTAATGTCACCGTGTTTTGTACATTCCATTTGCGCCTGTGTCTTTTGCAGCTTCTCGTACATAACGCAGTGTAGTCATGAGGTGCTAGTTCACATTTAATAAATGCTTCTACAAACAAAACGTTTCATCTGCAGATATGGTCTTGTTTAGGGATCTGTGCCTTTGTGCATACGGACATCTGACTGCTAAGTAGGGATTGTGTTTTTCAGCAATCGTGTGCACGCTTAATTTACAGAGAAAAGAAGGTCAGGGAAAAAACTGTAGATGGAAAACTCTCCATACAATTATTTGTGCATTTTTCTTTTTTTCTACTTGTTACTTTGCACTTTTTGTTAGAAAATGTTTATTTACTATTTATTCAAGTTTTTTTAAGGTATCTAATATTTTGATACTTAATTTCCATGATCTAAATATTCTTAAAAATTAAAAGTTTGTTGTCATTTGTAAGTGTGTAGGCCTTCTTGCATTATTATGTTGTTATATTATGATTATATATTCAGTGGCATAAAATGGTCTTTAAAATGACAATAATATCGCTTATCGCAATTATTTCTGGGGCAATATATCGCACAACAAAAAGTTGTTATCGTGACAGGCCTAGCCCTCAATGCAACTGAGAGAATCTACTAAGCCAGTTATATAAACCTTGCAACAAGCAAGTTCATGTTATAGAAAACCACAGAAACCAAAAAAACATCCCTTTTTTACATAAGTACTAATCAAAATTAATTATATAGCATATAATCCTCCCTATGGATTTTGTATTTAGTCACCAAAAGTTCATTTTATTTTAGAGCATTCACTACTTTCCTTAGCTTTAGACAGCAGGCAGTGAAAGGGAACTATGTGGTTGGGTGAGACAAAAGAGGGGCAATGAGATGAAGATCAGACTCAAACCTGAGTCACCCAAACGTACAGCATGGCTGTACAGGATGGGAACACTAAAGACTTATTACACAAGCAACTAAATTACCTTGTCAGGTTTCTCCTCGATGACATCTGGACTGCAGAACATCTCAGCCAGTGCCACACGAAGTAAGGAATCAAACAGAGGAACTGCTAGTTCAGAATTCACAACTCCAGATCGAGAGAGTTGATCCCGGACCTCACACAGCGTCTCCTCCACAGACTGCAGCTATGGGATAGAGCGTGGGAAAATTACACTCTTCGAGAATGAGAACAGGACATAGTCACTCACTTCAAAACGGCAACCAATAGCTCTGTTTCAAAACCTAGCGTGCCTACACTGACAACATTTTCAGGCATCATTTAAGGCCCCTAATGCAACATCACATTTCTCCCTTATTAAGAAAAGAAGAAAAATCATTGCCTTAAATCTAATATTACTGATAACTATTACTGAATTTACTGTATTTTAAATGGATTTTTTATGCTTAAGCCTAAAGTGTACTTCGGTTTTAACACGTATGGTCAAGTATGCATAGCCAGATTTTACTTTGTACGCTGAGCTTGCACATTCTCCTTTTTTTTTTTTTTTTTTTGCATTAATTACTTTGTCCACAAGGTGGCAACACTGGGTGGGATGTTGTTACTCAGTCGAAAAAAAAACAAATGAGATGGAACAACAACAAACTACTAAAGACGCAGCAACAACAACAACAACCCGTGTTTAGAGATACCCACAACTGTAAAACAAGAACAAAGTCATGTTTTATAGATCAAAACTTCTGGAGGGAATTAGCGCAGACACTGGATAAGGATGAAATGTGTTGAGCGTTTGTGTTTGTGCACGCTTAGGGTTCCCAACTTCAGAAAAGGAAAATAAGGGACAATCGTGGTTTTTCATACAAAAATAAGGGACAGAATAAGGGACACATGCCTATTTTATATATATTTTAGATTTGTAATGTTTTTTAATGGAGTCTCTTATCAAGGCTGTATTTATTCAATAAAAAAATACAGAAAAAAACTGTAATATTGTAAAATATTATTGCAATTTCTAATATTGGTTTCCTATCTTAATATACTTTATATGATTTCTGAAGGATCATGTGACACTGAAGACTGGAGTAATGATGCTGAAAATTCAGCGCTGCATCACAGAAATAAATTATATTTTAAATTATGTTAAAACAGAAAACTGTTATATTAAATTGCAATAATTTTCCACAAATTTTTTTTTTTTTTCTGTATTTTTGATCAAATAAATGCAGCCTTGATGAGCATAAGAAACTTCTTTAAAAAACATTTTAAAAAATCTAACTGATCCCAAACTTTTGAATGCGTGTGTAAGTATACAGTAGGCCTACTACAGTATAAAATGCATATTTTTCAATTAAAGAGAACTTATAGAATTAATATGGGCTGCTTTAGGTGCTTGATACTTCATTGGCCATCTTGTGTTTTAAGAATGAGATTCAAGGTTAAGAATACACATAAAATGTAAATTGTTTTATCTATTTAACAACATTACCTACAATAGAGAAAGATGACTTCCCTTATTGATCACATCTTCCCTCAGGTAAAATGCATGTTTTCTTGCGTGGCTGGATGTTGGACTCACGAAAAATAATCATGTTGTTTGCATTCGCTCAAACTGATTTACTGAAGGCGAAACGTGGACGTTAAAAAAATGGGAGTTCCGCTCGCTGTGAAGCGGGTGCGACCAGAAGAATGATTCATTCTCAGTTTAGAGTTTGTTATTCGTATGGTCTAGGTGTTCATACGGAATATGCCTTAAATACGGGACGATTTCACATTATACGGAACGGTTGGCAACCCGATGTATGCTATCAAATAGAGTATACTTTGAAAGGCTATGCATTCGGCTGTATAAATGCACAAAGTGTTCTCGTCAAATCTGAAGAATACATTGGGCTTTAGGTAGGGTGACCATACGTCCTCTTTTTCCCCAGACGTGTCCTGGCCGGGATTTCTACATTGCCTAAAATGTCTGGTTTTCTACTTCGTTTTCGTACTGTTTTCATACTTGAAGGTAGTGACTGAAAAATAGTTTGACCAATAGCATACAGGCATTGTACAAAATTAACCAGTTGTGGCATGCGAGAAAGTGGGATCTACAGAGAACGGTCAAAGCAATGCAAATACATGCACATATGTATGAAGACTGTACAGAGCATGTCAATAGAAATACAAAGCCAAAACCAGGACATTTTAGGCAATTTAGAAATCCTGGCCTGGACATCTCCAGGACAAAGAGGACGTATGGTTCACATACTTTACGGTTCTGTGTTGTTAGCTTAGTAGTACTGAAATCAATTGCCTCCTGTGCATTTAATTTGAGTAGTGACCTGTTCACACGGTGCTCATTCCATCCCCTTATAAGGCAGCTCACTAGGGTTTGAAACAGAGCTAGTATGTGTGTCCACTGTACCTGAAAGGATAGGTCTGGTTCAAGTCTCTGTAGGGCTGAATTGGCACTGTGGAGGCAGATTGCCAAAAGTGCCTCCAGCAGTCGGATGCTCTGGAGAGGCCATTCCTCTTCAAGCCTGTGTGTTGGGTCACTTGACTTGCTCTCGACCTGAGAGGGGCTGAAAGTGTCGTGCTGGTGGGATTTCTCTGTACCAGCGGCTGTCGCTATATTATCAAACTGTCCTGCAAGAGCTTGAGTGGGAGAGTCTACATGAGATGGACTGCTTTTACCCTTACTCTCTCTCTTTTTCTTAAATTTACAGTCTTTGTTTTTAGACGTGAGTTTCTGGATCACCATTGTCATTAGACGCGAACAGACATCTAGGCCTCCCAGTCTAAAGAACTGCCTCTGGAATACTGGACTGGCCATGTACACCCAACGGCATACTGACCAAACATCGGCAGCCCTCCTTATCTGTTCTTTAGAGGGAAGAGCAACACTGTCTGGGGAAAGGCAGGGCAGTCGTCCACCCAATGGTTCACTAGCTGTACTATCATAGCCTGAGGTGTCTTCAGAGTCATTTGCAGAGTCTCTGTCAGAGTCTGCCTCCTTGCTTACACATAAGAAGGCTACACACAGAAAAAGGTTGATCGTATTCAAATGCACCTCGCCTCGGTTACGCGCTACTGCAGAGAATGCACTTTTGCCCTTTGGGTGAGGGCATGCCTCTTTCAGGCCTTCATAAAACTTAGTGAGGCTCTGAGGTCCATCACCAGCCCCACGTGAATTCAGTTCCTCTACAAGCCCAAGAACAGCTTCTCTCTCCTGAGCTTCCGCTCTTTCTAGCTCATGCACAGCAGATTCCGTGTGATGGTGCCATGCATTCAAGATAAGTGTCTCGAACGCTTTCAGTGCCCACGGACGAGTACAGTCCAAGTAGATCAACTCTGTGATTTGGTTCAGTCCATTACAACTCAGGAACAGGTCCCGTACCACCCGGCTGAATTGGAAGACAAAATCAGAAGTTATAAATTGGAATCTTGGATTATTTTAAAGGCTATTTTAGGGGGCTTTCACACTAGCACTTTAGTTCAAAACAGTGCTTGGTTTGCATGAAAAATTGTTAATTTAAAAGCTTTCATGCAGACCTGGGAGTGAACCGCAGTATTGAACCAGAAACTACCTGTAGGATTGTGTTCAGTTGCAATGGAAAATAGTGACACAGGTGACGATTTACCTTGGATACAAGTGAGAGTGAGCATGCAGTGTAATCATGCAGAGTGAGTGCAATCTGAGCAGCAAATGAATGGCTCACAATCAGCTGTCTCCTCCAAAGAGACTGTTTGAAAGTAGCAGAATGGTGTCTTCATGCGACACACATACAGTAGACGCAAGCGTTGCTCATTCTGCTGTACATATTAGCACCTAATTAATAAAAAAAAAAATGACCCAAGTTGTGTTTTCGATCATGCGGAGTACATGTTTGTGATGGCATAAGAACTCAAATGCACCAGTGTTTTACAGAATCAAGTCAGTCTGAAACCAGACCATCCCTGCAGGAGGTGACAGGAACAATCTCACTCAGATTCGGACTGCAGTAAACATGCCCAGTGTGAAAGCCCCCTTAAAGAATCTAAACAACAGTGAATTGGAGGAAAAAAGAAGATAAAAAAACATGGTCATACCTTGACTTCAGCAGAACAGGCAGAGCTTGAAGATAAACCAGTAGTACTTCAACCGGGAGGCAATGGGTATGGTAACTGCAGACTTGGCTACACGTAGTTGACACACCAAGTTGCTGGGCATGATGGGTTAGTTCCACACCCCGCTGAAGCACTGGATTAAAAATATGAGTGTAGAGTTGCCATTGCACTACTGCATTGCCTCGTAAAGTCAACTGGCATACATGACCGGCAATTTGTTGACTCAAATGCCAGTCTTCCCCAAACACAATTTCTTGATAGGCCTCTAAAGCATCCCACTTCCATAGCATGTCTTCAGCTCCTCCACTGGGCAGAATACCTTGGGAACGATAAGAGGGAGATGGGGACGTGGATAAGTTCAATTCTTTTTTAGGTCCATAGCCCTGCAGAGTCTCTTCAAGGCCAGGTAACTGGCTACTATCCAAAGTGCAAATGTTGCAGGAGGCAAGCTTGGCCTTTTCGGAAGGTTGACCACCTCCAAGCTGTTCTAAGACTAGTCTACTAAGGACACTCAACACATGGGACTGGTAGCTCCGAAGTCCTGGAGCCTGAAATGCCTGGAGCATTGGTCCAATTACAGACCTCGGGTCCATGCAGCAACAGATGCCAGCAGCTTGCACTCCAGCCAGTACCTGCAGCACAGCAGGACCTGATGGTGACAAGCGCTGGAAAAGACGCAAGCATTGGTGGGCACAAGCTGCAAGGCAACAACAGCGTTCGGGGTACCGCACTTCTCCGTCATGACCCTCTGAGATCTCCTCAAAAGGATTACGTCGGGCTGCTTGCTTGAAAGCGGATACCGGTAGTCCTGAGAGGTCACGGTGATGGTGCAAAAAGTGGGAGTATTCGCAGCGACGGTGTCGACGACGTGCACAAACAGACTGGTGTAGCTGCTCTGACTTGGCCCTCTTGACAGCACTGATTATCTTAAGTACATCAGCTATTAGACAACGCAGATGCTCTGATGCCTCATTGCCGACTTCTGAATCTCGAGCTTCTGCTAAGGCCTCAAGGCGCAGAGCTGTTGCCTCAAAGAGCTCCAAGCCACGGTGTTGAACAAATTCATGAACTAACTCAAGAGACTGACTGAAAAAGAAAGGGTTGGGAGCAGAGGTCTGTAAGCAACCTAGTAGTAGCTGCAGGACACCCTCCAAGAGTTCAGGCAGTAGCAAGGCCCGGTGACGGTACCTTGAAAAGGAAAAATCTTCTTGTATCTCCTGCAGAGTCTTCTTTGGCCTTGGAGCAAAAGGGTCAGCTTGCCTTTCTAAACAGGTACGAATCTTTAAAGTTGCTCTGAGGAGGTCAGTCAAGCTTCGACGCAGATTATCAGGCAGTGTCTCATTTTGACCCACATCTACAAACATCAAGTGCAGAATGGTGCGTAAAAGCATCCTTTGAACAAGTGCAATTGGCTCCTCAGTCCAGCCTCCAGCTAGCTCATCGATCCCACCTCCACCACCACCACTGGGACCACAGCAGTCACCAAACTCTGTGAGTATCTCTGTGAGCGTGGGAACAACGCTGACCGCCAAGCCTGGGTTATGATTGATGGTCATGTCGAATTTGCAGACTTTTTCAAGAAGAGAAAGTAGAACATAGCAAAGGTCAAAAGGCGAGTTCTCCATGCGGTTGAAGATGGAGAGAGTAGTGGGGTCTGTTAGCATGTTAGGATCTAGAGTGTGAGATCCAAACAGTCTTATGTGAGGTTGGGAAGGCTCAATGGTGCCCATGGCATCGAGAGTGGGATGTTGCGATGCTGGCTGTGATGGATTGTTGGACTGATGGAGCTGGCAACTAACACGAATGGCCGAATTGTGGAATCGGCGATGTTTGCTCCCAGTATTTGTGGTCTTATCATCCGAGTTGGCTTCAGAATCTGATGTGGAAAGCTGAGATTTGCGTGCATCCCTCACAGAGTATCGCTGAGCTGTCCTTCGTGAACGACGTGACTTCCAGGAGCCAGATAAACGCTTCCCAGAGTTCTGCACATCACATCTATCTTGCCCCGCCTTTTGAGGGATGGTCCTTCCCTCTTGGCATAGAAACACCTCTAGTAGTGAATGCAGGGTGAAATCTAAAGTCAAAAAGCAGAGTAGAAAAGGAAAAAGTTTAAAGGATTGTCCTGACTAGCATCAACTGGTTTAATCTGGTTTCATTAGAGCAAGTCATGATGACCTCGAGAGGTCTGTTTACAACACAATTACGGGAACTAATAACTCAACAATGTGGAAAGCAGCTGCTAGAAAAGATTAGCATGCCTGCACTAAATATCTTAGGTCTCAAGCGCAATGAAAAGTCTTATCCTTTCCATCATCCTTTAACCGTACCGTTTCATAATTCAAGCCATCTCATGGTTTCACTTATTGTTCATGCAGGCATCTACTTAAAAATGCATGGCATCCTTGCAAGATCACCGCCATCATATGCGTTATAAAACAAATCGTGTAGAAGTATATCATCTTTCCAACTGAATGCAATGCCAGGATGTCATTTAAAATTAGAACATAATTATTTAATTCAAGGCTCAAGGTGGGTTAGAGTATACCTCTAGTGCATTCTCAAAATTAAGACTGTTAATAGCATGCATTATTAGGGGCTTTATAAAATGAAGTGACTCACCTGGGGCTTTTTCCTCCTGAACAGGAATCTTCCAGACCAGAGGTAGCAGAGACAACAAAAGTGTAAGCAGCTCTTCCCGACAGGTCAACTCCTAAGTAAAAGGTTAGAGGTTAATTCAGGATTTGAACTGAATTCTTCACTCAATCCATCCAAATCCAATCAAAAACAGTCTGTTGTGTTGATGATCACCTAGAAGCAGATTTATTTTCTAACTTCTGCTTCATAGTGCCCTGCCTCTCTTGGCAAGCTAGTTTCTAGAGCTACGCAAAAGATGGAAAGTTGCAGACAACAAAAACTATCCAATGGTTTTCTTCCAACTGCTTAAGACAAATACAGGTTTTGCTGGACATAGGTACGACAGCGAGCCTCTAAATACTGGCTCCACCCTGAGCAAAATAGCATTCCTCACAAGGAGAAGCGAAAGCACCCTGACACGTGTGAATTAAAAGCAAATACAGGGGGCTGCGTGCCACAGTGCTGAGTGACCCCAAGTAAACAAGCATCTGGGTGCATACTCATAAGCTAATTAGCAAAGTGGCTAGGGAGCCATATTGACCCACAACTATGCAAACACACAGGCGATTGATGTTGTGTTGAGAGATAGTTAAGCAGTGCTGAGTTCAGAGAAAAGGCCCATGTCTTGTGAGTAAGAACCACTCCAGACATGATTCATAAAACTCTCACTTCAAAGAGACATAATGAAGTAGAGGCGGCAGAAAGGGATCTGAAGAAAAACACGGGATCAAATAAACCCCTTGTCATTTCCTTCGACATCATGCGAAAAATTCTGTTGATAAATAACACAGAAAATAATTTTGACTTACCTGTAATTAAAAAAAAATTTTTAAATAATAAAATAATACAAAATAGTAATGCACTAACAAAGGATGTGCATGGTGCCAGGCAATATTAATATATTGAAAAGCACAGTTTCAAAAGTATAGCCCCAGTCATTTAAGATGTCATAACCGCATTGCTAGGAAGTACATCTTTGCATAATGCGCAAAAAGAAAGCAAAGGAACCTTTTACATGGAACAAACTTTACTCACAGGAACAACCCTAATAACTAATAACCAGAAGTTCATCTGCCAAACAAATTAGCTCCACCTCAAGAACACCAATTTGGAAACACCATAAATAGACTACTGATTTTAAGAAATGTTATTACTGCATACTGTGTCTAATCCAGTGTTATTTTAATATTGTTGGGATAATATTTGTATTAATATTTTGAAATCAATTCTTTATTTTTATATATTTTTTGTTTTCATTTTAATTTTGAAGTTTTAGTAATTCGGTTGTGTTTTTGTCATTATTATTCTTCTTTTAAAATGTCTATATAGCTTACACTTACACTTAGCTTATACTTTTTATTTTAGTTTTAGTTATTTTAGTACATTAAGTTTAACTAAATGAAAATGAGAAATTAAATATGCTGAAATAAAATGTTAAGGTTTTCAAATATATTTTATTTCAGGTAAAGTTTATTTTCAAGTAGCTATTTTTTCAATGGTTTTAGTTTGTTTTAGTCAACTATAGAAACCTTTGTCTACATGTAATATAAAACATTTGCAAAACAATAACGCTCACTAACTAGAGTCTTTCAGTTTTGCTATGTCACATCGTGTAGCTCACTTGCAGTGTGTCAACAGAGACATGGATGTCTGTGTATTTAGGGGCTTCACTGCTCTAAGCAAAGACTTTCTTTCTCCTTCCTCATGTCTGCAAGGAAAGACCAAGAAAGAAACAGCAAGAGTATATTCCCAGGTTCCATTCATTAAGTTTGTAAGTAGGTTGAGGTCCATAGAAAATACATTACAGCATGAACACAGATCCAACATTAAGCTTCACTAATCATCTTTTTTTTTTCATATAGAACTGAAAACAATATATACATATAGGCAATTCATCAGATTTTGATGCATGGACACTTAAGTAAAACTTAAGTCACTGCATAAAGAAAGTACTTTAAAGGTCCACTGTATGCAGTATTTATGTGAATGCATGAAGCATTCAGGAAGGCTATTCAGCTCTGTTGTGACTGTGACATATCAACATGCTATTTCTGAACAATGCCAGCATTTGGACAGGAATTCATTCCCTAAATAACACGTCCTTTGAGTTTGACTAATACATTTCCATGACTTGTCCAGGAATTATCCAGTCATTTCTTCCAGAGATGAGCCCGACAGGAAAATAAAAACAGACACATTCTGCATTGCATTTTTCCATTACGTTTTTCCATACACGTCAATCATGTGTGCAATTAACACAATCTAATATGTGTATTGCTTTATCCCTGTAAAGCCTAACATGAAATCTCTCATCTTTTTTTTTAATGGAACAGTTTATTGAACCTTTGGACAAAAATAATAATAAAAATAATCTTGCAATCTTGCATTAAAAAAAGTTTGCATGCGTTTTTTGTTAAGTATCTTACGCATAGCAAGCATTTAAGACTCATATAATAAGATATAGAGAGAATATGGAGCTCATCGAGGAGGAATAAAACAGTTCAATTTTATTCAGAGGCCCAAAATATGCAATTTGGTGCAGATACTGATGTTCATTTGGCCAAAAAGTGATGAAATTCTGTTAGCTTGTAATGTAAATCAATGAGATCTTTATAACAGTATAGGGATGTTCATTTCGGTTATTTTTCCTAACCGACAACCGACGCTTGTTAACCGATTATTAACCATTAAACGACAAGATTATTTTACATTAGAATTGAATTAAATTAGAAAGGATAAGTGTCTGTGACCCGTTAAAAATACTAACATTTGTTTCCCGGGGATTCATTTTACATGCGCAAAAAGCAGCAAACAACAGAACATGGGGATTCACATATGGTCATATCACATCACGCACCTGCAGCGCTTCTGCGAGCGGAGAAAAACATAATAAAGCTAGGCTATATATATTTCGTGCAGCACAAAAATGAACCGAAACTCTTGTGTATATATATATATATATATATATATAACGAATAAAAAGGCCTATACAAGAAATATATCTTTACTTAAATAATAAATGAAGAAAATGAAAGAAAAACTGTAACAAGTAGCCTAGTATGCAGAGTTTTGGTTCATTTTTGTGCTGCGTAAAAGGAAACAGACGACAGAAAGCGGCACCCTATTTTTCTTTAGGCTTACTTTACAAAGGCACAAAGATTTGTTTTTATTGTGAATGTACACAAATAAAGGCAAACCTTTTACAATTCCCAATGCGCCGGCGCCGCATGCGCGCACAGTTAAGCAGTTAAGCATTGAACAGCATTGATAAAATAAAACTTTTTGTTTACATTATGTGTGTGTACTGTGTGTATTTATTATGTATATATAAAAACAAACACATACAGCATATATTTTGAAAATATTTAATGTATTTAAATTTAATATTCATATAAATTATATCATATATATAAATATATTTAATATATAAACATAACATATTTTTCTTAAATATATACATGCATGTGTGTGTATTTATATATACATAATAAATATACACAGTACACACACATATATTATGAAAACAAAAACTTTTATTTTGGATGCGATTAATCGCGATTAATCGTTTGACAGCACTATAAAAAATATAAAAGTTATTCTTATGTTTATTTTTTTTAAATCAGTAAAGATTTGACAGCAAAAAGACCCGTGAAGCACGAGCTGAAGGTGGACGTTTGTACAATTATACTAAAAAAACTTTCACTCGCAAAAAAAGTCTAAATTATCACTCAGACGACAGAAGACATGCAGTAGATTCTGTGCAACAGGTTTTTCAGTAAAGTTCTGATCATGTTGATCATCTAGATGCTTTAGTAGGCTTTAAGGTTCATTTTAAGGTTAAAATATCTTCAAATGAAGCTTTTCTGACTGACCTGGTCAATGACAGAGTCCAGGGTGCTGAGGAGCAAGAACCCGCGTCCCCGCACCAGATACTCTCCCAGCGCCACCATGTGACTCTCCTCCTCGTCCTCGGCCCGCTGGGCCACCGCACTACACAACTGGTGCACATCCGTCAGGAACTCCCGTGCCAGGGTGTTACTGGCCCCACTCATGTCCGAGCTGATGGAGGAGAGAAAATCAGAGCATGAATACATGTAAACCACCTGCTGGAACCTGCTACAGCTCTGCTTTAGTTTCACATACATTGCAGTTCTCTTTTTGTATAAATTAACAAGAAAATAAAAACAAGTGAAACTGCTCAGTTGGTTTCATGTCCCATAAATTCTTCTATATAAATGGATTTAAATACAAGAAATACTGCTATTGTTATAATCTAGTATGCTTCTACTGTTTTTATGTTTACATGTAATTAATTATGCAGTCTCAGGGCTCCAGACAAAAAAATAGAGTAAGGAGCCATTGGCTCCTATAAGAAAAAAATTAGGCGCCAAATAATTTTTTTAGGTGCTACAGAATAAACGTGTTTTATTTTATTTATTTATCTTTTTTTTTTTTTTACTACATTTTAACATTTCAATCATACTGTCATGTGTTTATGTCTCATCTTTTCTTGATTTATCAGCATTTTAATCCATCTTGTAGATGACCTGGGAACTATGGTTCACTTAATGTTGGAACTAAATGTCTTTTCCAACTTGAAATATACAGTCACAAATAATTGCGCATTACACAGAATCTGTACCAATATCACGGACCATAAGCATCACTTGGCCACTGAGTGTAGTTTGGGCTCCTCCTCAATGCATCCTGTAAATGTTGTCATATGTCTTTCGCACATCCAGTCTGTTTTTCTTCATTAGTAAAATACTATTTTATAGGAGTTGAATAATGTAGACGACAGGTTTAGTAAAAATATTAATATGCAGTAGTGCATAAATATAGCAAAACGCTCCTCTTAATAGTTATTTTTCTAGCTGACTGACGAGCTTATGGACAACGAATGGTTATTCTGATTATTACGTTGCAATGTTTACAAGCTTTACACGTTTTCCGCAGTTTGAAAAACTGAATGAGCAATTTCAGACATTACAGACATTTCAGTTGTACTGTAGGCTCTCTTATAAAATAGCCTACCTTTTGATGTTAATTCATGTTCATTATGTAGCTACTACAGTAGTAAAGGGAACGATAATGGGTTCACTTGCCGCTTGAACTGAGGCGCTAAAGCAATCGCGCCTGCCGCATTAAAGAGCGCCAAAACCGTATTTATTGTTTGAGTTTAGTTATGAATTTGGCATAATTTTAAAGCTGATACTTTGTTTATTAAAAAGTAACAAAGCACAAAGCTTTTTGCGATTACTGGACGGCAAGTGCGCTTCAAATAATATGAAGTTCATGCATTAACGGAACACAGCATATAGACTAAGATCTTGATGAGAAGAAGCCATATTAGTAATGATTATAAACGAGAATTGTAAACGATATTGCCAATATCCACACAGCTGACAGCTTAACCTGTTGTAGTTTGTTCAAGTTGTGCACCAAATAGACACTGCTTTTCTACACTTTTACTTTGCATGTCTCCGTCATTTCGATCTCTCTCTCGCGCTGCACAACTGAGCTGCGTTTAGCAGGTGTGCCGTTATCGCTGGTGTTCGACAGAGACGAGGACTGTTTGAAACTCTTTTTTCCACTAAAACTTTGATGCGCATAGTCTCAGTTTAATACGTCAACATAACAAAAGATGTGATCGCAAAATTACCAGGAAAAAAGGCATTACATGCAAATTTTTAAGTCGTAACATGTAAATATATACAGTCGACAGTGGCGACCTTAGCAAAAACTTCACAACAGCCTTTGCAGATCAGATGCTGTCTATGTAAGGAGCTTACTAGGTTTTAGCCAAAAAAGAACAAACAAAGAAAAGTGATCAATATTGCCAATATCTCACAAAGGCTGGCAGTCCATTTAACCCCACCAGTTCAGTCATATCAATAAAGCAGCTAAATAATCAAACTTGATCAGTGAAATGTAGGTTATGGTATGCACACAGACTATGACTATGTGAGGCCTGGCAGGAACTACAGTGATATTACGCAACAAGATTAGGCTTCATGGACACGGACAGCAGATCCTGTCATCAGACACTGACCCAGCGTACTGTATCTCATCAACCAGTTATTCCATCCACCACATCAACCGCTGGACAGGATTTCAGCCATCTCACTTTACCAAACCATAGACAGCAGAACACATGGTCACAAGAAGCATAACAATTCCCAGACATTGATTTAACCTCATTACTTTGAAGATATTAAGGATGCATAATAATTAATAATTACGCATTATATTAAACCCCAAAAATCAAAAGAAAAAATTATATTTTTACAAAATTATATTATTATTATTATTAATGATAATAAACTGTATTATTTTTATAAAAATCAAATTAATATATTATATTTCACTGTTGAATTAAAAATGTTTTTAAGAAAAACAATATTATAATAATAAAAAATATTTTACAGTAGACATTTTAATATGTTCGCTTTACATCACAGCAGTTCCAGCACCCTGACGGTGCTTTAAAGACACGCCCCCATTAAAATCTACAATATCCAGAAACACACACACTATTCCAGCCGACCGACAGTACCTCCTACAACCAGCTCGCACATATTCCACTTATGCTCGTAGCAGCGTCTCTGCTAAACCGCAAGAATCAAGCCTACATCCGCATTCCTCCACGCTTCACTAATGACTGAATTTTCTGTCCTGCTCCGTAAATTCCATTAAATCGGAATTTCAGAAGGAAGCTTTCCAGATTTTGAGTTGATCAGTGCATCACATGAAAGCATGTGATGTCACATGGTTGCACAGGGGCAGGCTGGGAAGCAAACTTCTGGGCAGGCCTGGGGGTGACTGAGTAATTCAATTTTGTAGTAAAGTTTAGATGATAAACCTGCCATTTGCCGGACGCTGAAACAATCCTGTTATGTAAAAACAAATCTTAGTCTTCTGCAAACCATATTATCTTATTTTGCACAACCGTGTAAATATGAATATGATTGGACTCCATCTTTTTAAATACTGTTATTTTCAATCTGAATTAGTAAACTACATTAGTTAATATGAAGCATTTATTAGTCTTAGTTAATGTTAATTTCAGCATTTACTAATACAGCACATTATTAAAATCAAAAGTTGTATCTGAGCCAGCATGAACTAACAATAACCAGTTGTATTTTTATTAACTAGTGTTAAAGTTAACGTTCTGTCATCATTTACTAATGTTGTTCCAAACCCAAAGGACTTCATTTGTTTTCAACTGAAGAAAGCAAGACATTTTAAAAAATGTCTATGAAAAGTGTTGTTTTTGTTCATACAATTAAAGTCAATGAGGTCCAGTGTCTTTTCTTCAAAATATCTTCTTTTGTGTTCCTTTTTGATCATGTTAACAAACGAAAACTTGTAAAGTGTTTCCAATGCCCCTTACCTTGGTCAAAAGCAAAATTAAGAAATATTAAGTACTTAGTAATTTTTTCCAAGTAATACTTTCATATCGGAACAATAGTAGATTATGGAAGCTAGTTCCCACCATGGGATAAAAATAAATAAGAATTGCAGATTTGTCAGAATTGCAAGCTTAAAAATTCAGAATTTTAAGATATAAACTAGCAATTCTTATATATTTTTTTGCTTTGTTTACATCACAGGCTTATATGAAGACAATGAAACACTAAGAAATTGAATTTGAAATACAGTGCTTACATTTATTAGACCACCTGTCATAAAGAGAAAACACAAATATATTAGGAATTTGTCAAAAAGTTGTTTAAAACTAAACATTTTATTGTCATTTATTAGGCAAATAACAAACTGAAACAACTGCAGTAAATAGGCTTTATTCACAAAAAATAACCAAAAAACACTACTGTGAATGAAAAGCTTACACATACTGGTGGATTAACCATTACAGACACATAAAAAAATGAATTTGGTAATCACCAGTACTGTTAGTTTAGGGCAGATGTGGCACAAAAATTACATTGGGTGGTGGTCTAATAAATTTGTTAAGCACTGTACATTTCATGAAATGCAAATACTCTGCACTGGGCGATACACACATGTAAACACTCCCATTTTATTATCATTACAATTGCTATGCAAGTTAATAATAAACTCATAACTTGATATGCTGTCCCAGTTTACCAGTATCTCCCTGTCCCAGTTTGCCAGTATGCCTATGGTAACATGGGACAGAGGAAAAATGATTCAATATCCACGTAAAATCAGGAAATCAGACAAGTTTGCAAGAACAAAAGTGTGAATAAGCCATGCAACTTCTAATTTCTGGGTGAACTATTGCTTTAACAAAGCAATTACTTTATTATCTCTCTCAAAGCAGATAAACGTTTTGAACGGATCAAAGGGTTACATATGCAATAATCGCACACTAATGCGTTCACATCAGACGGGCTGTAGCTTGGTCCAGTTCCTGTGTCTCGGCTAAAGTTCCAGGAACTGCACATGATCACAAGATAAAGATTAGGAGCTGAGAAAACACACTTAATTGAGCACACGGCATGTAGCCACTTGGCCAGACAAAGAAAGCCTTTTATCACTCGCCTCAAACGATCAGCTTCTCTCAACACAATGAGCTCTGTCGCTGCTTGCTATGATTTTAGTTCATCTAAACAAGGTTCAACTGACTGAGGGCAAATCTGTGATTTGGTAAATTACACGCACCAAAAAAAAAAAAAAACACTGATCAGGAACTGTGATCTGTGCTTAAAATATCTCAAAGATGCAGTGAGTCAGTGTTTTTATTTGGTGACAAAAACAAACAGATGAATTTCAGTGAAACAACAAAGATGTTATTCAAAATTCTGCTTGACAGACGTGATCAAAAGAAAACATGAATTTCACAATTTTTTGAGTAACTATTTCTTTGAACACAGGCTGTCAACTGAAGACACTTAAGGTCTCTGCACACCGAGTCCGAAATTTTCGTATGCGTTTTTTCGTATTCGAAATCCTAAAAATCCGTCACGCACAGAAACCTTGCACACTGAGTCCGATGCGTATTAATTAATCCGTTGCGAAAAAATTCGCAAAACAAGCACTAAATGGAGTCGTCAAGCAGTGAGGATGATTGTGTTGTCCTCTCGCTTCTTAAAAAAAGAAAAAGAAAGGAAATATTGGGTCCATCCAATCCTGTGATAGAGAGGAAGGAGAGTTCCCCCTCCTTATTAAGGAGCAGCGGGACTATCACGGGCGATTCAAAGTTTACTTCAGGATGTCAGTGGCTCAGTTTGATGCTTTTGCATATTAAAAAGAAGACCACAAATTTCTGTGAACTCAGTGTGCAAGGATCTACATACACAGTGCTTTGTGCTGTGAGACGAAGTGGATGAACTTGACAATCGCCATTCTGGATTTTGGCGTTCGCTTGTACGGTGGCTCTGAACTGTCAAAACACCTCTCAAAATGCTTGTTACGGATGCGAAAAACGGAAAAAATCGAACCCGATCCGAATTTTTTTATGACGGACGAATATTTCGGAGGCAGTGTGTAAACGTGATTGACATAATGTGAGGTCGTATTTATTTTTTAACGTGCGAAAATTTCGGACTCAGTGTGCAAATACCTTTAGACATCTGGATCATCTTGAAAAAGAAGACGGCTTACCAGAATTTGAGCGCATCCTTTGCTCTCGGGTCACTGAGTTGTCGCACACAGTGAAACGTGCAGAGAAAACTCTCCAAACACTGAAGACTGACCTGAAATCAGAGAAAAACAACAACATACATCTCTGTTATGAAGGAGATTTGATTTCACAGACGAATTCGATGTTTGCATTTTCTGAAGTATTGACACTTGGTTAGGAGTTTGATCAAACATATAACTTCTGAATGATGGTAAAAATAGGGCTGATTTAATTGAGCAAGCACCAGAAAAATGCTCTTGCAAGGCAGCTTTGCTTTGTTCTCTTTAGTAGTACATCAAATGAGCAATAAATGTATTATATTTCTACACAAACGTATCAAAATGAGACACGCATTGCTTTTGGCCAGTTTTGATCAGCAAGTCTTTTCCTTCATTCAGTCGACCAGTGAGCTCTCAAAACACCCAAAGACGTCTCTGTTTCTCCATTTACTGGAACAGACACAGAATAATCACATTACATGGAGCAACTTCCACTCACATGAGCGAGTGAGTAAGAGGCCAGACACAGGAAAACGTACTACAGCTGCTGCTGCTGATGCATCTACATGAGTGTGGCTATGCCTCAGATCCCATACTACACATACTACCCAAAAGCAATAAAATAATATAAATAAATAAATGATAGATAGATAGATAAATAATACATTTATTATTATTATTATTTATTTGTTTGTTTGTTTTTATTTTGGGTTAAAATATGACCCTTGATAAATTCTTAACTGGTTTTGTGAGGTTCATACATACGTAGTATTATGGATGAATCTCATGAAGTCTGTCAAGAACTTGTCAAGGGTCATATTTCAATCAATCAACCAATCAATCAATCAATTAGGGCTGTGCGATATTGAAGAAAAATGCGATACCTTGTTAAAAAATGCGATATTCGATATGCGATACGATAAGTGTGTAAAATCAATTTAAATTATATTTTAAAATATTTAAAAATGAAAATTATATAACAAATTTGTTTCACATTCTTTCTTGGAAAAGAATGTGAAACAAAGAGTCACTACAACTTCTGAAAGTGACCAACAGTGTTTTAGCATTACATAAAAAGTAATGTCACAAATCAGAAAATGTCATTTTAACATCAGTGTGAACCAGATCACCCCTGCTGCCTCTACCACATCTCCCGGCTCTCCCACGCACAGCACGGCCACATGTACCGCGGCCACTCCCACCTCTTTGGGGCAGCTAGTGCTACTTCCAGCCCTATTTCTCCTACCCCTGCTGCCTCTACCTCTAGCAACAGCTCTCCTATGGACACTACGACCACGTTCTCCCCTGCCACCCCCATCCCTGTTGGGCAAAGGGTCAAAATTATCACTTGTTTGTGCTTCGTGAAC